ACAGCTTAACCCCTCCCCTCCAAATTTAAAAACGTGTCAAATATCGATAAAAAGTATGTACATGATGGACAATTATTAATAATGACGGTTTTGGAAAATGTGGCCGTTGGCTGCACCTGTATTAGCACTGACTTGTAAGTGAACTGTTAAGGTGAGCCAACCAATTTTCTTGAAACAGGTAAGGCATCAATTTGATTAAAAATCGTGAGTTCCAATGAATGTTAGTTGGAAATTACATCTAGCATTATGCCACGCCCAATATCGAATTACACTTTTTTGGCTCAACCCCTCCCACTTTCGACTGGATATGGCATTTGTGGCAGGACTCAAACTCGAAATCCGTGAAAACAATTGCGCGACTTCCAGTTACTAATAATAAATTGTTAATGTCGCTGTAACACAATTATTCTAGATGTTTTAGTCAAATGATCAATTTCATTGAAATCGCTTCACCGTCGCATTTTGACAATTTTTTTTTTTTTACCAAACTATCGTGAATTTATTTTTACCCTGCTCATAAGTGGCAAGGTAAAATAATTGCAATTCTGTTTTTGTGAAAAAATAGCAAAATATTAATAATTGTTCTCATCACTATCTGAAAAGGTGTCAATGACCCAATAACAGAACTGAGCATTGTTACCAATTACTACTGCTGTTCTTTTTCAATGAAACTTGATACATACATGATCTTAGATAATGCGCAGACCTGATTAGTTTTAGGTTGAAATCTATGCATATTACCACCTAATTAGCATATTAATTAGCCAATTTTAAACTTTTTCACTTGTTTCACATGTGCTATTAGTATTAAATAGATTTCAATGAAACTTGGTATATAATACGCAGTGTTGATTAGTTTTGATTTAAATCCTGTGCATATTAATTATTCAATTAGCAAATTAATTAGGCAATTTTAAGCATTTTCACTGTTTCTCGTATACCATTAGACAGATTGCACAGAACTTGGTACATAGATGTTCTGGGATAATGCACAGTACTGATTAGTTTTGGTTTAAATTCCATGCATATTAATTATCATAATAATTAGGCAATGTTAAGCATTGTCCTGTGTTTCTCAAGTACCATTCAACAGATTTTAATGAAACAAGGTACATATACACTGTAGAATAAAACTCAGACCTGATAAAATTTTGGTTGAAACCATGCATATTAATTGCCTGTTTTTCATATAAATTAGCCAATATTTACCTTTCTACCAATATCTCAACCACACATCAGATTCAATGTAACTTGGTACATAGACTTGTAGATGTTTAGGGATAAGCCATATACATGCTCAGTTTAGGGTTAAATTTTGAGCTTACTAAGTACCTAATTTGCATAAATTAACTAATTCATAGGTGTTCCACAGATATCTTGTGTACCACTAATATAACTAGGTACATAGGTGCTTTTAGATAATCTGCAGATCTGATTAGGCCACACTGATTTAATTTTATGGATGACATCCTCTAAAGCCCTAATGCGAGAGAGTGGGGAAAAAAAAAAATCCTCCCCAAAAAAAAAAAATCTTGCTAAAACCACAGGACTACGGAGCTGTTATTACGAATTGAACCACAGTGTATCAAAAAAACAACAACAAGTCTTTATTTGTAGGAGGCACATGTTGATGTACACATCTCGTACTGTATTACTGTCGCAGGTATCATCACCTTTGATTTTGAAAAGGCAAGAGGATAAGGCAAATGTTAGCTTTGCCAAAGGCATACACATCAACTCAATAGTAAAGAAAAACTTACTGTGTTGTATTGAAAAAAAAAATAATTAAAAATGAACAATAAGTTTGTCAACAGCAACCTGGAAATTAACTTCTTTGACATTCAAACTACAGCTTTTAAAGTGACACTTCAGATAGACTAAGTGTAGACACTAATGCTCTTGAACTACTTCAACTATGTAACAAATTATAGAGTCAACAAAAATTTGGATGCAGAAAATTTGTCTTATGATCAAATTATTACTGACTGTATGTGCAAGCAAATTATCCGAATCAGAGAATGAAAAAAAAAATAATAAGAAACTTTTCTTCACCCCGAAAGGAGACTTCGGCCAAGAAGCATCCGCTGCTTTCATTGCAGTTTTGTCAACTTCAATGCGGACAAAGCAAGCAAACTGACTTGACCGACTTTTAGGCCACCATACACCTCCACTCTTCTCCCATTTCTCTCATCGTTGCAGGAGAAACGCAGGACAGCTCTGGACAATATATGTCCTTAAAGTTGTCTGGGCGAAACTGGCTTGCCGCTACCTGTCACATGCAACGTAATATTACCGTAATTGGTATAGTACAGGTGTGATGGTTCAAATACCAAAATGGCAACAGTAACTTAAAGACTTCCCTGGCGGCGATGATAACATACAAACACGGAGCCAACAGATGAGGTTTCAACTGGTACTGGTATTATTATACTCTGCAAACATCAAGTACAATAACACGGTAAAACTCCAATACAATTCAACGAGATCTCCGATCTGATCTCAGTGCTGAACAACTCCCCTATATATACCTACACTGTCTATAAATAGACCATTACATCAGCATACATAATGTCATGGTTATTAATATTTGTCTGTAGTATTCTTGTCGTTCACTAATGTTGAATTGTTCACTAATGTTGAATTCTTTTTAAATCAATTTTTATATTACATGTACTTTTATTATTTACTTTATTAATCTGAAAACCTAAAAGGAAATGTTAACTCTTTCTTTACGGTATTAATAAAGCATTATTCTCTCTCTCTCTAATGAGTCTGGAATTTACTACAAATTTCTAGAATGTTCCATTACCTTCTATTGCCTTGTACTTGATGTTTGCAGAGTATAATAATACCAGTACCAGTTGAAACCTCATCTGTTGGCTCCGTGTTCGTATGTTATCATCGCCGCCAGGGAAGTCTTTATGTTACTGTTGCCATTTTGGTATTTGAACCATCACACCTGTACTATACCAATTACGGTAATATTACGTTGCGTGTGACAAACCACTCCTGCATGGAATTGATCAGACATAGATATATAACTTAAATCTGATAGTTTCATCCTGAAAACTGACCTTTTCAAAAGTAAAATGAAAGCCTCCAGCAAATGCTTTAGAGGAACTCACGATGAACTCACCACAGCGTAGAAAACCAAAAATAAGGCCACTAAAATGACAGTTTGCATGAGTATATCAGTGAGATGGGTGAATACTTGATCCTGCTACAAGTGAGCCTTGTATTTTGTTACGCTTAATTGCCCTGAGCAATTAATTTACACGACCTTAAAGTATTATTACTGGTATTTTTCAGTATGGTGGATACTGTCTTGTGATCTGGTGAATGGAATTTCTGGAACTTTAAATGAGACAATGCAATAGAGAAAAGTGTGGCCAAGAACAAAAAAAATCTGTTTCTCGTTTCATGGAAATTTTAACATTAGGCGGGCGGTAAGGCGATTATTTTTTTTGAATACTGAGCTAAAATGGGAGAAATTTGAGACAAGTGCGAGTACAAGCGCATTTTGGAATGCTTTAGAATAGAAAAAAAAAACGTCCGAGACGCATAGTTCAATATGATGCGCGCGAAAGCGAGAAACAGATATTTTTTTTTTTTTTCTCTACAGTATGTTGAAGATATGCAGCATGCCAGCCAGTGTTAAATATGCACCTGGGCAGTACAATGATAGTATAGACTTCCATCAGATTTGTTTGGTGGTTTATGTCTATGCTTTGTACATGTACATATCGGTATATGCATGTTGTAAATGGCTTTTAAGTGTGTACTTATGCAAGTACAGTTCAAAATGAAATGTCTCTTATAATACTCAATCACTATGACACCATAGCAACATGTAAAAACTCTTTAAATAAATCTAATTCATTTCAAGTTTTTATTTCCTCAGCCCTTATTTGGTCAAGTCAAAAGTAAATGGGGCTGCACATACATGTAACATGTCTTTGTATGGAAGATCACTCACAAAAACTATGTCTACAAAGCAAACAGTTATAAGTCAGTAAAATAGAGAAAATCACAGTGGGCATAATTTGTAATATTGCAATTACTCACAATTTTGCAATTAATTTTGATTGTTAATGTCGATACCAGTACATGTACCATGCTAATACAGTTCATGTATTTACAGTGCACATGTATACATAACATGACAATATACTGAGAACTTGTGCTAAATGAGAACATGTACTGTTATTATGCATTAATATCTAGTTTGAGACAGGAGATCGAATATTTGATGAAAGGAAAATAGTGCAACAAGTGCATTTGTTGCAAAGTAATGCATGCAAGTCTTCACAAAAGTAGCCAAGATGTAGGTACAGTACGTGTACATTTTTCTAAAACCTGATTTTTTTTTTGCCACAGTATGTATAACTAAATGTTCAAGAAATACTCTTCAAAATCTGTTGTTTTTTTTTCCAGCCTGGTACCACTAAATATGCAGTTGATGTTGGGTGTGGTTCTGGGCAGAGTACTTTCATGCTTGCACCATACTTCAACAGTGTCCTTGGAGTGGACATCAGCTTGGATCAAATTAAAGTGGCAGAGGAGTCCGAACACATTCCATCTAATGTCTCATTCAAGTATGTGCATGGTCAATCACTCTGTTGCATCATGGGAAAATACATTTAAACAGAATAAGTATAGCTCATATAAGAATTAAAACACAAGTCATTCATCTTTACGTTAGTAGTTTTTAAATTGCCTTCCCCAATTCGTAAATTTATACTATTTATACATTTATGCTGATTTCTTTTCAAACTTAGTATGAATTAATATCACTCATGGTGGGTTACTGATGCTAGTCATTTACTGAGTATAGTTCTGCGATAATGGCCAACTTGTGAACTTTTTTTAGCTTGCCTGTAATGAATGGAAGAGTTTACGAGGGGAAAGTTTTGTTGACGTGTTCATGCATGTTCTACCGGTATTAACAACTGGACTTGGGAAGTTCAACAAGGTTCATGATCGATTTACTTTTATATGATGAATGAATGATTGAAATATATATGTAAACAATTATGAACACAGCATTAACGTAAATACATTAAAAAAATAGGATTTTATTGTAATGTTTTGATGATACCAGTGTGAATTTCAACATTACAGAGTTGCAAGCTGTGGTGACATTCCAGTGCAGACTGGTAAGGTAGATCTCATCACTGCTGGCACGGCCATTCATTGGTTTGATCTCAAGACTTTTTATCCGGAAGTTACGAGACTTTTACGACCTGGTGGATGCTTGGCAATCTATTCATTTCAAGAGATTAAGGTTGAAACAGGTGATGCTAACCAGACCATGAAAATTAATAACCTTATCAAAAAGGTAATTTTGAAAATTGTTCTATTCGGTAATGAAACTATTATCATATTAGAAATCTTTAAATTGGATAAACAATAGAACTTATTTATCATAAATGAATGAACACAATAGAGTTGTTTGAAATATTTGACAGGCAATGTTATTTTCCTGGAAAGAATCGTTTCTGTTTATGACACATTTTGTCTTGTATTCACCGAGAAACACTTGTATTCGTTCAACAAGTACATGAATGTTTATAATCAAAGAGGAATGATCTCTCTAATTGTGTTCACATTCACATGGGTACCCAAGGAAAGCATGAAGCATTGATCCTAGTTATTTCAGCTGCAAAAAATTATAACAGCATTTTTAAAAATACCGTTCATTTTTGTGGTGCTTTGTGAATGACTGTTTTGTTTTTTATTAATTATTTCACACAAGTATTTTCAGTTTGTGTTATCTATTCTACTTGCAAGCCTATAGCCATGGCGTATCAGTGTAACATTCATAACACTGTAAAACCGCAACTACATGATTAATAATTATCCATGCATAAATTAATTTGTTTTTAAATTGTTTTTGTTTTTATTATAATTGACCAATAATGACCAAAAACAAGTGTGCTTTCACAACTATGGTTATAATTGGATTTAAAGTTACTGTGGCAATATAGTCAATTTTGAATATTTTTTTAGCATATCTAAACAATATGAGCTGAGCAATAGCATATTTTTTATACTTTTGGCCGTCTACATTGCAGTATTCATTGATGGAATAAAAAAAACTCTATTGTGTGTGTGGGAACCAACTATATATGTATTATGTTTAAATCTAAATCTGGCGTGCATGCAATTAATGCTTTCAAGACATATGCTAATAGATGACTTTATATTAATTCTGAAATATATTGAAATAGAATTTATTTAGTTCAACTTCAGTTTTATTTGTTTTATTCGTACAAATATATATTTTGATTGTATACATCAACCGCGCGTTTCCTACATTTTCGTCGTTTAAACTTTTTTATACAGGGGTTGGTATGAGCTGCCACAATTACCCTCTGTACATAATACTGCCTGAGGAAATGCAGATCCTGGGCAAGTCAAGTAAGAACTGATTAATTTGAGACGTCATTGTGATTGTGTTTCTATTAATGTGAGCTTATCAGTATTAGGTTTACGTGGCTAGTCATTATTATACAGAATTTACAAAATTGATTATGCATTCTAGTGATGTTTTGTCGCATTTTCCTGCATAAGAAAATGACAACAAAAGACAGAAAGAAATGTGCATCCGTTAGGGGAGAAAGCAATTGTCACAATTATAAATGTAGAATACTGTGGAATACTTTATTTTCGCTGGAATTTATTTTCACTGATTTTTAATGAGTTTAAGGTAGCGGGACTATCATTTGCATACTTGTTTTCATCTTCTAATTGTGACCAAATGACTACAAATAGACCCAGGAAAGTATATATTTTTAGAATCGCCAGACTTCAAGCTTTACAAAGGTGTGTTTGCCATGCCTGTATCTGCATTCTATGACCCGTTACTTAATCAAAGGTGAAAAATTACTTTTTCTGTAAAAAAATAATTACGCATTTATGCTGGCGATAAGTATTTTTTTCACTTTTCCTAGTTGTTCAATAGTCTGGTAAATTGAATGTGTCTGGTCAGTTTTATGCAAGCAACGCGTTTTAAAAAATAGTGTGCTGAATTTCAATTACTGTTTTAGTCTCGATGCCCCCCAACTAAACCACAACTCGTTGGTAAATAATCGATGAAATAGTTTCTCTGAACACATTCAAGTTCCTCTCACTGTCACTTTAAAGCTGTGAAAATTTGGTGTTAATCCGACGACAATAAGTATGTTATTTTTTGTTAAAAACCTTGTATTTTGAACAACATAAACTCCTAGAAAACATCCAGCACAAAAATTTTCAAGCTTGTTTATCGGCACAATTTGTTTTCCCAACAAGGTCTGTTTTAACATGTGTAGGGACATCCAAATGTGTAAGGCTATTGGAAACCAAAAAAATAAAGGAATGGGATAGCTGTAATTCGATAAATTCGGCAGTTGAGAACACCAAATTCAATGATTTTTCTCAGTGGCTGTATGACCTTGTCTGAAACAAACTGGTGGAGACAAACCACTCAAATGTTTGGAAACACTAATTGTGTGTCAGATAACGCATCCTAACATTGCTTTGTCTTGAGTTTATCTTTGAAACTTATAGGCACACAGATTAAACCTGTGTTATGATTGAAAACACTACTGAGCTGCTTTGCTTCCCATCAGAAAATCTACATTT